ATCTTAGCTCTAGGTGTTGCTACCTGAACTATGACACCAATTTCTTCTGGTGTTATCAGTCCGTTCTTTACTCTCTCATTTGCACTAGCTTCCAAATCACTTCTGAGTAGAAATTAGAGGGTGTTTCCCCCCAGTACCTTATTCTTTGCACAGTCACTTAAACATGCATAAAGAGAGCACTCAGGGGTATAATTCCCCATTCAATTCGCACAGGTAAACGACTCTTCAACCAGGAAGCAATGAAGGATCACACCCACTGTGCTGATTAAATCACTTAAGTACAGTGTACATTTCCCCTGGCTATGCTTCCTGGCACGATTAATTCTTCTATTGAACCTTTGGGACCTGGGCCAGCACATATGCACAGATGGTTCCTCAAATCAGGAATTCACTTCCCCTACTGTCTAACAGAGCCTGAATCCTGGTATTCAAACCACTATGTCATACAAGTGTAGGGTAGGAGGAAGACCATAATTTCCAAAGTTCATACAGACTGCTATGAGTCTGTGCAAGTTAGGATGGAACAGGACTGTTGAAAATAAAACCTTTTTCAAGGGTTTACTAAGGTCACAAGCACCGAATAATGATGCATAAATCTAATTTTCAAATTATCTCCTACTCTGGAAATGACTTAAGATCCATGCACTTCTTCTGTGTGCCCCAAGAGAAGTACTCAACTTCCCATTCAGTGTGGCAGCTCAGAGATGCGATGTCTCAAGTCAGAATACTGCTCTGCATCTCTTGATCTTTCTCTTGATCTTCCAAACATAACTGGAAGGAATATGCACTTAGTAGAAAATATGATATGAGCATTTATGCATGAGGATAAATATGACCTGGATACCATTTTCTTGAGGGACTGCGTTCTGATTTAAATATATGGCATTGAAGAAACTTGCTATTGTATCTTCAGATGAAAGACTATGTCTGTCTATATGTAGATAGAAACACAGCTGGCTACTGAGGAATAGGAGAAATGTGTATATTCAGACAAAGAGAAGAAGGTCTAAATATATGAAGGGTCGATTATTATGCTCCTAAGTGTAATAAAATTATTTTTGCCAGGGAAAATTTGTATTTCTTTAAAAATTGAAAATTATTGAGGTGTTGTTTTCTAGACACATGTAGTAGAAATTTACCTCAGAATGGACGATATGAATATAAGGTCTCTGATGAAAGGCTATCTTCTAATCTTCTAATTAGAAGAAATCTTCTAATTAGGATGCCAAATGTTGAATACTTAAGTATGTTATCTTACAAAGATACTGCCAGGTTGTACTACCATTCATTTCTAGATAACTCCAAAAGTGTATTAGCTCCAAACAGCAATCTGGCAGTCTGAGAAGCTTTCTTGCTGCAGCAGACAATATTGGACAAACAAGAGCCAGAGCTCAGGGAAAGAGGATGAATAATGAAAAGATTATCCATTTGCCAAGTGAGGACTAATTAATGACATTGTGCTGAGGATCAAGTCTAGCCATTTTTTACCAAACTAAATGCTTCACATTATAGCTTCACATGCAGGCAACACACCAGGAGTGAAACAACACTGGAGGCACAGATATTATCTGAAAATAACAGAGTATTTAAGCTGGTCTCAGCTAAAGAGCTGAGAAGTGCATAAATATAGTCAGAAAATAAACCAAATCTGGATAAAAACAAGGCTGGGGTGAGATTCCATCATGAAAGGTGTGATTAAAGCAAAGTACTGTCAAGTCCATATTCCAAAGGAACATGCATCTGACGTTTCGGATGTATGTGTGTTGACAACTGAGACTAAGTCCTAAACTTCACATCTTAGGTCTCACATTATTTTGTATGTTCAGAGTACTTTTGTTATTCAAAATCTCAGAAGACCTGCTGTTATATCATTCCAACATCACTTAAGTAAATTTGGCAATCTCAGCAAGATATTTCTCTGGAGCACTTAGTCCTGTTTTCCTTATCTCATTATTGTCACAGTTTTCCCTGGCTGGCAATTGAATACAGGTGGCTTTTCACTCACTCCCTACCCAGAAACCCTCCCCAGTGGGGAAGAGAATCAGAAAGAAAAGGTAAACCTCATAGGCTGAGATAGGAACAACTCAATAATTGAAACAAAATATTACTATTATTAGAAATATGCAATAACACTAACTATAACTGTAACAATAATAGAACCCAAGGGAAGCAGGTGATGCACAATTCAGTTGGTCATAACCAAAGACTGATATGCTGCACCCATCCCCAAACAGTGACTGGCAGCTCCCAGCCCACTCCCCCAGTTTATGTACTGAGCAAGTCATCCTCGAGTATGGAACATCCCTTTGGCTAGTTTGGGTCAGATGTCCTGGCTATGAACTCTCCCAACTTTTCCTGCAACTACTCACCTGCAGAGCCTGAGACAGAAAACTCCTTAACTTAGATTAAGAACAACTTGGTAAAAACAAAAATCAGTGTGGCATCAACATCATTCTCATGCTAAATGAAAACACAGACCTGTTACTCAGAATACACACTGCCCCAGACAAAACCAGAACATATTACTTCAAGGCTAGAAGAGATATTGAGTACATTACAGAATTATTGACTTGCTTGGTCTTGGCAATTCCTAAATTCCATTTGTTTTTCTTACTTTTACCTTGAAAAAAAAGTCATCTGCACATCTCACTTCCCAAAACCCCAAGAAAGCAAGGTAAAATATTAACATTATTCCTTTCTTTTCTAAGGATCTGAAATGTTCCATAACACAACAGTATCTGCAGCATCAGCAGGCTCTCAGATTAGAAAGTAATACGTAATTTAAAAGAATTTACATATCCTTGAATGACTCTTCATATTGGTCAATTCCAGACTGCCTGGCAAGTTATAGCTGACACTGAAGTTTTTCCTTCCCCTGATTTAACTTCTCAATTAGTAGAAACTCATATAATATACATAAATATGTATGTATATATATATATATATATGTGTGTATATATGTATATGAGATATCTTATTTCTTATCTCTCATATAAAGATAAAGAGATAGATAGATAGATAGATAGATAGATAGAGAGATAGAGATAGATAGATAGATAGATAGATAGATAGATAGATAGATAGATAGAAAAAATTTCCTTGAGCTTTCAGTAAAACATTTCCAATTCTACAATGAATGAGAAATAAGGTCTGCCAGAACAACGTTGCAGACTTTTAAATATCAGAAACTGATAAAGTTTCCTACAAATATAATTCTGGAGTAGTTTGGATTCTTTGAATGCAAGTATCAGTAAAGGAAGAAAGTCTTTGCGTAAAGGCATGTGCAATAATATCTGTGAGGGCTGAAAAATCCTACAACAATTACATAACTTTTCAGCTTTTGGAACCTATTAGCAGGGAGATGTTCTTTCTAAACATAATTTCTTACGAAGTCATGCATAAAAAGAAAAAATAAAAAAAAAAGAAGAAGAAGGAAAAGTAAAAGAAAAAAGAAAAGCAGAGAGAGTTGTGTTTGATTAGATGAAACACTTGCAACTAGAGAGTCTCCAGTTTGTGTAGCAAATGTCCTGTGGACTCTGCTAATGCTCTACGGGAATGAATTGTGCTCTGAAGTACATTTTCAAGATGACAGAAAATTCAAAGTTCTGTTTCACTGCCAGTGACTGGAATAAGGCCTTTACAAATTGGTTTATGTTTTAAAAGGTCTTCTATGGATTACATTATGAACAGTACCAAAAAATTAAAAGAATGCATACAATATTGTAAAAATATTACTGTAATAATTTACTGTATAAAAAGCCTTCCTTGGATTAAGGGAAAAATTCAGACAAGTCTCCATGGACAACAGGGGAGCACCACTTAAAAAAAAAAAAAAAAAAAGAGTATTTGGAAATGGTCTATAAAATGGAAGGACTGAGGATGCGCTCCCTCTACACACATGGATGTATATTTATATGTTATCTACAGCACCCTTGGACTGGGTTTGCACACACAGCTCTTGAACAAGGAGAGTATGTGAAGGAGGCCTTGCACTATGCTTTAGTGTAGGTCATCTCTATTTAGATTTTTCCTGGGAGTGCTGTAATCTGAAGCAAAGATAAGAACTAGGTTTTTTTTTTAATTTAGATAAAAAGACCTCCCACAACCAAAAACAACAGCAACAAAAAAACCCCAAGAAAAATAAAAACAAAAAACCTCACAAAAACTACCAACCAACCAACCAACCAAACAACCAACCAAACAACCAAAAAAAAACCAAACAACCCAAAAAACTAAAAACAAAACAAAACAAAACAAAAAAACCCCAAACCCATAACAGCAAAAAAGAAACCACATCAAAAACTGAAGCTTTGCTGTGTCCCTGAACCCAGGTGGAATTTATTTAATAATTTGAAAGGGGAGAAGAACCTGAAAAGACAATCACAAATTACTGAATAAGAATGTGTTATGTACACTTGAGTAACTTCTAGCCCAGCTTTTGAGGTCACTTAGGAAATGTAGGTTCAAATCATTTTAGGGGAGAAAATACAACAGAAGATCTGCAGGAAAATAAAAAAATGAACTATTGACACAGCATAGCCCTGAAGAACACTTAAGAACATGAAAAATTTAGGAAGTACATCTGAAAGCTTGCAATATTTGAGAGTGGAACTAGGAGCACACTAATGGGGACACAGAGACTGGAGGAAGACTGGACCGTCACCACACCCTGGGCTGCTGCAAACAGATCCTACCAGGCAGGTCTGGTTATGAGGAATGACTTGGGTAGAAGTCATGCTATGCAAGGCAGGTTACCCTAGAAATCATACAGCAAAGTTACCTGAGTGGATCTGCACGACTGTTAATTTTCCTAGTGTAGAAAGTCCAACGGTTCTTGAGCTACAGCTGAGTTGAAGATGTATGCATGTATTTGTCATCAGTGTATCTGGTGAATCAGCTTAATAATTATGCACACACCCTCCAGATGCACACACCCCTACCTCTTACATACAAATTTTTAAGTTGGTTTTGTAACATATTGTTCTGCTTTTGTTTTACAGGAGACTATGTAGTCATGTCTGTCTTCTTTAACCTGAGCAGGAGAATGGGTTATTTCACTATTCAGACCTACATTCCCTGCACACTTATTGTTGTCTTGTCCTGGGTCTCTTTCTGGATTAATAAGGATGCAGTTCCAGCCAGAACATCACTGGGTAAGTTTATCTTTCCTGTTGTCTTCACGTATTATGATATTTAATTGACATCTCTGCAGATCACCAGTTTATAGATATGAGAACAGACAATGTCGCATGAACTCTCCTCATTTCGAGGAATGCAGAAATTTCCAAGGAATAACACAGACTAAGCTATATCTGCATCTCTTCCTTTTTACGATGTCAGATTCTGACTATTGAAGATTGTCAACAATAAAAGCTTTCGCATTTTTTCTGATTACAGCAGTATTTTTTTATAAACATCAAGACGATGGGGACACACGACTGGATTAGAGGCAGAATGCATTAATTTTGCTTGTTCTACTTCCATATCACAGTGATTGGCGACACAAATTAAATAATTATCAAGAAGGAATCCACCTTTCTGGTTGTGTGTCCAAGTGGTAACAAGGGGAGAATGTACCACCATTATCACTTTAGAGACCAACAATCAAATGTAGACTTCAGGAAAAAAAATCAACTGAATTTGCTGGTATCCAAAACCTTATACATGAAAATGTGACATGCAATTAATCAGAATTAGAAATTTTTACACATTTAGCAACTGCTGCACAAGCAACAGCTCCACAAACAAAGAGTGCAAATTAATCTTGCTTGTACAAAGCAGCTGTAACAGTAAGAAATAAAGCAGAAACATTCAGCTAGTGAAACTTTAACACATTTTCTACTTCTACATTAAATCCACTCAAGTGAGAATTATTTCAGTTTTTCCTTCTGCATTTTCATTTCTTCACAGAACCATAGCACAGAGCACTGGAGTGCAAAATAGGGGACACATTTTTCATTACAGACTAACTAGAAAGAATGTAACAGCAGTGGACTAGTGGCTTCCATAAGAGAAAGCTTTAAGCATTTAATTGTTTTTTTGGTTTTTTCACATCTTTTTTAAAAAAGAGGTTATAATATCTGCTTTAAAGAAGTACAAAATTTAATTAAAGGCATTCAGCTGTTATTTTACATTTTACCTAGATACACAAAACAGACTTGTCCCTCTGCTGAGAATTAGTCTATTTGCACCACTAAGGTGGTAAAATCAATGGTATGAGATTTGCCATAAAAAATGTTCTGATGCATTTTTAACATTTTTCACACCACAGTACATGCAATAATGTTCTGAAATGGAAGGGATGGTGAGGCATGTCACAGTACTTTTTTGTAGAATTTTCAATAAAAATAAAGCCTCCTCAGAAGTAAACTACAAAACCAAAACTTTAAATTAAATTTCGTAGAATTTATCTAACCAAAGTATTCTACTGAGCAGCATGGGCAGTGACCATGCAAAAATGTCGCATACCCCTCTTAGTCCTCTAAGCTCCCACTGAATTGGGATTTCACTGCTAGAATATGCTACTGAATATCTCTGCTGTATGTTTAAAGTCCAGGTATACTTCAAAACCAATCAGAGAGAGATAACTGGCAAAATCAGTTTGCTACTTGAAGTAATATAATTTCTGTTGTTTTCTATCTATCTACTAGGAATTACAACTGTCCTGACAATGACCACCCTAAGTACAATTGCTCGTAAATCTCTTCCCAAAGTCTCCTATGTGACAGCAATGGATCTTTTTGTGTCAGTCTGCTTTATTTTTGTGTTCTCTGCACTGGTGGAATATGGAACTTTGCATTACTTTGTCAGTAACAGAAAACCAAGCAAGGATAAAGACAAAAAGAAGAAAAACCCAGTATGTATCTTTTTGTCAGCAAGGCCTAAAATTTAATTAGTTTTTCTGAGAGAGTATTTAAGTCCCTCTTTATAACTGTCCCTTTTGTTCATAATTTTCTATTATATATATACACCCATCCTTCATAACAATGGGAATGCAAACATTCACTTTGAGTATCAAAAGCTCATCTATTACAGTTTTCTGGATGCCAGATAAACTAATTTCTTAGGATAAAGATCTTTTTAACCAAAGTGTTCTGCAAACCACAACTATCAAAGCTATTATTTATGCTATATATAGATCTCTTTATAGAAAAGATCTGTTTCTCTGTCTTAGCAATATGCTATGTCATTAACTTATGTCCACATTATTGACATGACTCTCTTGCTTATTAGGACAACAGTTAAACTTTTATATTCAAACTTTGGTGTGTGCTTTTTCCAACTTCCCCTTAAGTATCTGTTTCTTTTCAGTTGTTTTCTTAAATTATTTTTTTTTATATTTCTTACTTTATTTACCTACTTCTCTGTCTTAGAAAATGATTTTATAGTAGTTTATAATGATAGTTATGGATATGTACTACCCAATAGTAAAAATAATGTATATAATAGCAGCAATAAAAAAATTCTGGAAATACCCTCAGTAGTGATTTGGGCTATTGCCCACACAGGGAAAGAATTTGATGCTTATTTTGTACAGGACAGATTTTTCCTTGCCTTTGTCAAGTAAGCTGACAAATGTGTCGTCTAGAATCTCTAAAACATTAGCCTAATCATTTACCAAAAAAAACTCAAAAACACCCAACCCCAAAACACCCCCATGAACAAAAAACCCTGCAAACAAACAAACAAACAAAAAAAAATCACAAAAACATCCTTAAACCAACCAAACAAACAAACAAAAAAAAAAGTGAAAAATGTGAAGGAAAAATTAATTTTACATTAATAAAGAGTATTTTCATCTCCATTTCAGGCATCTAACAAAGAATAAAGTAATTTGGATTTGCTCTGCTAAAATATTCAAGGACTTTTGAAGATATTCTCTTTTAGCTTTAAAATACATCACAAAAATTGATATAGAAAAAATAGCAATTAAGGAACCTTTCACTACATACTAGTCCTATAATTTCAAGTTTGAAAGCTGCTAAGAGTAGACTTAAAACACAAAGTAAAATGCTAAAGTGATGTGTCCTGTATTAGATGGAAATAAAAGTGTCTGTGTGTATGTGTGTCTTATGCAGTCAGGTAAAGAAGCAAAACTAAATGCACCTAATTGTTTCACTTTAAGGTATCCCTATAAGGACAAATAAATTGTTCTTTACATTGCTCATCTGCTCATTGAGCATCTGGGAAGAAACAGAACTATAAATGTTTGCCTGAATCCTAATCACAGAGTCTAAAAACCTTAAAATTAGAGTGTTCAGGGCACAGTCTGCAGGTAAAAAGTCTTCTTTCTAAAAAGTGCTTCTATAAATTGTGAATGGTCTCTTTCAAAACAGTTCAGCATAAAAGACTAGAATCCCCTCAGGATATGAAAATCTAACAGGAGTTTGATATCTTTGTCTTTGGCCTAAATGTAAACAAGACAGTGACAAGTTGAAAATGTGGGGGATTTTGTGTTACAGATACTTGTTTCAATTGCTGTAATCGCAATCTTTCTATAAATTTAGTTATTTTTGACTTACCGTGTTTTAGAAACATATTTTTAATTTACATTATTTTTGTCTCTTTCTTTCCTTTCTTTAATTTAAAACAAAACCCTCTGATTCTCTTTTCTGTCTACAAAATGAAAGCTTCTTCGGATGTTTTCCTTCAAGGTATAATGTTTTTTGGAATGGAAATTCACTGCATGCGACTGCTGAATTTAACTATTAGAGCTTAGATGAGAGTGGTGTTTTGTTTGGTCTTTTAATTAATGAGACAGCTACTCAAGCTACTTGCTAATTAAGTAGAATGGTTACAAATTTCTAAACAATTTGTAGAGTTGATTCAGCAGCCCAAATACCAATGCACTGTGGTTCTGAACTTACCTAAGTTCAAGAGTGACCAACATTATTGGATCACATGAATTAAGAGAGTTTAATGTTAAAACACTTCTGCTCCTCTCTCTCAATTTACCATGGGATCCAATAGCACCAGCCATCCTAAAAACCTCCAATACACCCTTTTAGAACTCAGCTCTGACCCTGGATTTTTAACCTTTGTGATTTCACTCCTAATTGTAAAACCAAATCTATTCTGATGGTGACCTGAAAAATAACTCAGTGTCACCATCAATTAATAAAATGCTGTTCATTAAGAACAAAAAAATTTTAAAATCAGAGTTTTGAAAGGGTTTAAGATGTATATAGATTTTTAATGTTGTCACTGGATCAACACACTTAGAAAATTACGAAATATATCTAGCTGTGTTCCACATCAAAACCTTATCTCCATTCAGAAATGCAGAGATTTTATTTAAAAAATTTTAAAGGGGCAATGGGTAGAGGGGAAGAAATCACACAAAATAAATTACATTGAATTTATATATTTATGGAATGGAATTGTTATGTTTCCCTAATAACTAATAGCATGAAATTTCAATGCCTATCTTCCCAACATTCACCCAGTGCTCAAATGTGTTTTAAATGCTCAACTTGCTTGATTCATTCTAAATATATGCATGTATATATACATGTACAGCTACTATATAAAATTTGGAACATGTTGAACCTTCTAGCTGGTGAACATCAGTAGGTGGTGAGCTGCATATATTCAAATAATTGGAGAGTCTTATAGAGATTCTCCTAATCTTATTCAAAAGACCTAGTTTCTTCCTTTTTCCTGTGTATACATATTTGCATTTTTCTCAACATTAACTACCCCTTTTAAAATCCTGCATTTACAATTGATGCAGTTCCTTTCATGTGCAATACACAAATTGCCTTCAGATATCAAGCAGCTATGTAAACTATAAAATAAAAATTCATAATACCATCAATTACATTCCTGGGTGTTTCATTTAACCTCTCATGTTTACTCAGTTTATCTTTGAAGCTAATTGCCTATAGCTGTTAACTTTAGATTGATTTGTGTTGCTTTCCTCTAAAGGGTATGATGCAACTGATTTTCATAAGTTCAAGGTAATATCGCCATTAGAACACCTTAGCAATTTCCTATGTACCCCCCCACAGAACCATCATTCACATGTTGACCATCATCCCCCAGCTGGTCTGGTGATAATAAAAAAGCTTCTCCCTCTACCATCTTTTTCTTTTTTGCTACTCCACCTTAGGCACCTACTATTGACATCCGCCCCCGATCAGCTACTATTCAAATGAACAATGCTACACACCTCCAAGAAAGGGATGAAGAATATGGGTATGAGTGTCTTGATGGCAAGGACTGTGCCAGTTTTTTTTGCTGCTTTGAGGATTGTCGGACGGGAGCGTGGAGGCATGGCAGAATACACATCCGCATTGCCAAAATGGACTCCTATGCCCGCATCTTCTTCCCAACCGCCTTCTGCTTGTTTAACCTGGTGTATTGGGTATCATATCTGTACCTTTAAAAGCAGTAGAAAATCAGTGATACGAGCCTTACTCACTGAATTTCTTAGAGAGATGGTTTCCTAAATCCACTTGAAGTATTTATGATGCGCTTTTTAGTGATCTGAATTCTTTAGTGCCATAATCCCGTAAATATCAGTCATATCATTTGTCCAAAAATTGCCATCAGGTTATTGTGAATTACATGTCCATTCCACATGCCAAAATAATTTAAAAATAAAATAATGTCACTAGGTAAGATACACCTATACCTGCTGGAATAGAGAGAAACAGGGCAGAAAGGGCAAGGGGAGCATAGCAACATCACTTATTAGTTGATATTTGGAATCAATCCTGTGATTCCAAACAGGAGTGAGAGAGAGGAGAATTCCCAGGTAAAGTGCTGTACAGTTTGTTAATATTGGCTATAATTATGCCATAGCTTTATTCTCTGTGGGCTTTTCTTTCTGGAAGAGTCATCTCTCACTTTGAATAGGTATTATTAAGCAAGGAAAATTACTTCTATTCCCACCAAGATGGAAATAGACCTTACCCTTTGCCATCCCTTTAAGAGCTGTAACATGTACAATGCTGTAAATATTATAATACCTTATAGTACATAAAGCCTAGTGCATGCATCTTTTGGGGGCCAAAATAATGAAAAAAGGTACCATAAAGTTTTGTCTTTTATTTTGTGTCTCTGGATGTGCTATTGTAATTGAAATGTGGACAAACCTAATTTTCTTTTTTCTTGAAAAATTGCCCTTCTCCCTCATGCATGGAAGATCCAAGCAGACAGCACTGTCATGCAAGATATTAGAGAAGCCTTAAGGATTCAACTAAATAACATAGACAAATCTGTATGGCCAATATAATAGCTCATAAAGTGTAATGTATGTGTCCTCTGCAGTTGTAACCTTCATTTCCCATTAATAGTGTTGCTATATTTCAATTGAATCTCCAGAAATTATACACTGCAAGATCAGCTTCTGAATTTAATCCATGTGCTTCTACTATTGTTCTTTTCCCATGTTGAGCTCCACTTTTTTCCTTACACAAGTGTTTGTGGGGACTTTTATTCTTCAATCCAGTACAGGAAATAGCTTTTATTCTAGACATTATTTTTACAAAAGAGCTTCAAGTTAATTTTGAAACATTAGTCCTTCTATTGCATATATACACACAGTTCTCTGCCCATTCATGTCCTTGATCAGTAATAGCTGTTGTCAGTGCTACTTTCACTCAGTGAGTACCTTTACTAAAACCTTTGCCATGGCTAGCACAGAGTTGATAGATAGCCTTGAAAATAAAAGGGAGCAGAGGGTGTCTTGGCTACTAAATCACATGTATGCAGTTATGTATTTAAAACCTTCAACCCACCTGGGTGAGTCTTGAAAACCACTGGTTTTCAGAACCTGTATGATGGTCAATTATGCAACCTTAAGCACATGTAAATATGACTGATTTTTTTTTTAATTGTCAAAGATGCAAAATGTCACCTCCAGAAAAGTGGGCTTGCAGCTTGAAAAGGGAGACCTATAACTTATCACTACAGAATTATTATTAATTGAAATGGAGGAAAAGAAAAGTTTTCCAATGTTTGTATAATTTTGGAAATAAAAATGTTTAAAAAAGGAATATCTCTTGATCATCAGTTGCTCCTATTCCAATGTATTTGGAAACATTTTAATAAAGGAATTGCACACACCTGTGGACTTTTTCAATAAAACTGCCGCACTCAACCCCAGTTTTTCTGTGATGAGTTTGTCAAAAGCCTGCTTTGAGAACTAGACTGCTTGACCAGTTGGATTTATCAGCTGCCTAAATATAAGTGATTATAATCCTTATAACCCTCTGCTTTGTCTCATTTTGTAGTCAAATGACTCACACATAACTTTCAAGAATGGAGACTAACTCTTTTGAAGGTTATCTTATTCTTAAAAAAAAAAAAAAGTTTTAAAAATCACTGAACTGGAAGCATTCTAAAGAGAAATAACCTTCTTTTATCTAGTTAGAGAGTCTCCACTGAATTAGTGCCAATCACCTTTCACATGGGAAGGTGTTTCAACTGGTACCAGACTGATCTCTATTTTTTTTTTCCCAGTAGTCAATGATTTAAGAGCTTTCTTTTATTTTCTTGCAATTAATAAGGGTGACCAATGTTAGACATTTAAAGTTTCAATTTTTCCTTGCTCTCATATATGTTTTATACATATCGCTATGAAACTCAGTCCAAACCAGCCGTTTAATGCCCTCATTCCAAGCGCATTTTGGTTAACATGCACAGAATGTTTTTGGTCATGATCTGTGGGATTAATGTGACACTAAGCACTTTACCCTCGTTCAGCCATCAGGTTACCTGTGCCTAAGAAAACCTGAAGTACTGATGAATCAGATATAACAATGAGGAAATGAGGAACAAATGATCCCATCCCTCACTTGTGCAAGTTTGGCTTCTCCTTCCAGCAAGGGAGAAGTTAAGAATTTATATATTCCCATCTCAATAATGCAAACCACACAAATTGGAAAAGTGTGCCACATCTGCCTCAAGGAGGTGAATGAACTTTGCTCACCATACATCACGACACAAAGTAAAGAAAATAAGACCCTAATCAGTCATTACCCATAACCTCGCTCCTGCCATGCATACTGAGTGGATTTCTAATTTCCTCCTGGGGAAAATGGAATGGTTCATGAAGAAACACATAATTCCCAGTAAGAAATTGACACCAAACTGCAATCTAGTGCTACGTGTTGCTCTAACATGGATTATTTTAGCTATTCAGTAGAGAAACAAACCTTTGTGTTGTAAAGCCAGATTGCCACCACAGTAAACAAAACAGTAGGCAAAATTACATATGCATGTGATAAGTGCTATTATTCAGAAGAAAACGGCCCAGAAACCTATCTATATAGACACATTCATGTATACATAGTATAGAAAACATTATACTAATATATACATTATACATACTAACTCTCCCAGTTGTATTTCAGGGTAGAAACTCTCTCTTGATACACCAGGCTTGCTGAGATGTTTTCAAGCTCATCACAATGCAAATAAATATTACTGCTCTGGGATGTGTCTGAGGATGTTCCGATTGGCATTGGAAGTTTTATCAAGTATACTCTAGTGGCACAATTATTTACTTGCTATTTATATTCCAAAAGTATGTAATATTCTGACCAAGACAAGACACTGTTGTCCCAGGGATTATACTAAAACAGAACACCTTCAAAGCATTTATAAATCTTTACACATTTATAACATTTACAAACCCAGACTGTAAATAAAGAGCTGGTATTCAGGAAGATTATGTGACTCAACAATAGTTCTCCTATTTTTTGTGTTATCCAGCCTCAAAAATATGTATTTTGCCAAGCAAGTATGGAATAATTTTAGCCTCTGTACAATTAAAAAAATGCTAAAGATACACACACACACACGAAAAAGGGGACAAGGAGTCTTTTTTAAAATCCACTCCTCCACCTCATTTCCACCTTATTTTCCCACAGTTACATAAATTATGTATGCTACATTTTATAGCAAGGCTGGACTGGCCCAATAACAATGGGTGTCAGTTTCAATGACACAGCTATTGCAACAACTATTGGAGGTCCAAATATTTAGACCTCCTTCCACCTGTGCCCCCAAAGCCCTTCATTATTAAAACATGTAGAAAAAGAAAGAAGAATACTTATAAAATAATGAGGCAAGTGAATAATGTCAGAAAAGGAACAAGAAAGCTCTATTAGCCGCATAAATTTTAGTGGATAGCATTGTTTTATATGGAACAAAAAATATTTTGGAAAATACAGTTTTGGATTATCTGCCTTACCACCAAATCTGGGTTTTGTAGGACCATGGTAGAGATGAGCTGCAAAAAAGGATTGGAAGTGGATAAACATGGACTTTTCCAGGTTTGCTAAAGAGTTTCTCATGCTTCAGAGAAAAGGCAGGACAAAGTGGAAAAAGAATTTGTGGGAGAATTTGGTAGTTAAGGAGAGAAACTGAGGTTTTATTAAGCTGATCTGCTCTATCCAGGCTGCAGCTGAGAACCAAATTAGACAAGCAAGCAAAAGAATTTGTTATTAATGGACTAAAGTGGCAGGCCAGAACAACAAGCTAAGAAGGCAAATTAAAGGCAAAGTGATCTACAGAAAATAATTTTCAAGGCTAAAATAATGAAGGTTGCAGTTCTCTGAGCTTTTAATAGAGTACCTTTGGGATTCAGGCTTCATCTACATGCATGAAGGATCAGATTTTAGTGATGCCATGGTAGAAAGTTAATATTATTTTGAAATTAAAAACTACAAGATGAGGTCTTCATGAAAAATAAAGGCTGTTTGTGGGCTTCTGCAGTTGAGGGACTAAAGCCTGTTATTTTAAACTAAGGCATCATCCAAGGCAGAACCCAGTAGTAAGAGTGAAGAAAAGAAGAAAAGCAAAACATGAGGAATCCATCTAAGCACAGCCTAATTACAGCCCAGGGGACAAAATAGTATTTTAAAAATAAGTATTGTCTTTCAAACAAAATTTCAGTCTCTTTTGCTGAGAATTTAATTAAATCTTATTAAAAGCTTCACAGATGAATTGGTTTATACCCATGAGAGATCTATTGTTCCATTTATAAAAATTGAAAGCCAGTGCACTTTCCTCTCCTTATTTATAAGGATTCTGCAGATGAAAAGATTTAGACTTCCTACTTACACATTACTGTGGGGCTTTTTTTTAAAGTCAAGATTTACAATGAAAAACATACCTGTTGAATATGTAAAAGAAAGCTCATGACCTTTAAAAGATCTTGAATAACAGACATTAACTAAAAGCTTGCTTACAAGTCAGAAAACAGATTTGAATAATTAATTCTAGAATGTCAAATTACTACACAAAAATACATTTAAAAAGGTTATCTTTCTTGTGGGAAAAGTACCCAGACCACAGTATGTTAGACTGGATTAGGCATTCTCATTTGGATTCACATAAAATTCATATTGATTATCAAAATGAGAAAAGTAAATAAGAAAATAT